CCACAGCCACAGCCACAGCCACAGCCACAGCCACAGCCACAGCCACAGCCACAGCCACAGCCAGAGCCACAGCCACAGCCACAGCCACAGCCACAGCCACACCCACACCCACACCCACACCCACACCCCTTCGAATTGTCTTTTATTAAGAGTTAGTTTTCGTTTAACTTCATCTACTAAAAGTTGATATAGAAGAAAGAAAACAAGAAAAAGCAGTTTTTGAAATCATTTTTCGCTTTTCACTGCATGTCATAATTATTTCAAGGCAGACTTCCATCTTAGTTTGGAGAAAAGTCACCCTTTCAAGGTTATATCAGTAATCACACTATGTATATGTGAGTGTCAAAATTGAGATTCCATCCAATATTGGATTGGGGAAAAACGTTTGATTTAAAACTTGGATTAGTCGCTGAATCCATGTCATATTCTGATTCTTGTTGACAGGCTGTGACAAAGCCATGGCTTCTCCGCTATTACAATCAGCGATGAAAATCCAAATTTCATTGTCGAACAGCTATGAATCTTTATTCATAAAGTCTGACCTTTTTATTTTTTTTTATAAAATCGATCATAACTTTACGGATCTGAGTTTAGTCGATCAAATGACACTTGTATACATTGAAAATTCATCACTTCATTAAAATTGATCAATCAGAATCCGAATCTAACATTGATCCAGAGACAAATTCAAGTTTTAAATACATCTTTCTTCCTAATCCGACATTAGATACATTTATTCTCGGATCCTAGATTCGCCTCTAGGTAAATTTTAGATGGGGCGGAATCTTAGTTTCGACGCTAACATTTATATCAATATGAAGATTTTCGGTTTTAATCCTTCCCCCTAAATACAGGATTGATTACTTAGGAAAAAGAAAATCAACTAACTAGTAGAAACTAACTGATTGATAGTAATGTAGAAACCATATTCCTCATAATCTATGAAACTCGTTATATGCTCTTTCAGTAATCATTTGATAAATAGTTTTTCGTTGCATATTATGCTAGGAAAACCGTACTGACGATATCATATAGGCACAGAAGATCATGAAAATATGATTAATAATGACATAAAAAAGGGAAACAGGTTTAAAAATTGAGAAATAGTGATGACGTAATATGTAAAGAACCGCTATTAATGGGCTGAGTCTTATTAGAAATGAAGCTACATCTTTATTTTCTTTTACTCATTGCTCAGTTCGAACTGAAAACTTAGAAAAATGCAAAAATAACATTCAGATTTCATTTCCTTTAGTCAATAAGATTTTAAATTAATTTCAACTACAGAATTAGCATGTCAAAGCAGTTTCTAACATAATGTTTGCTTTCTAAATAGATCAGTTATACTAATCAATATAACAATTGAACATAAAAGTCATTCTTATATTTATTTCTTAAAATTCATTTTGAATACTTATTCTGTTTGATTGAAAATCGTTTCACAGACTAAATATTTGAAGAATAATAATAAGTTTAACATATTTATTTATTAATTTTTTAACTGTTTTTGTTTAGTATAAACAAATGAATTTTTATACTGATTCAATGAATTCCTTAGTGAAAGACATGAGATAATTGTCAAAAAAAAAACTACTGTCATTTTTTTTCTCATAAATAGTTTTTGGATACTCACCACAAAGAGTTTAATTCATTATATTGATACATTAATTATCACATCATTCAGTCAATTAGTCTGCCAAGAAACACATAAGATGTGAATAGAATAATTAGTTATATGCGCTTCAAATTGAGATCCTATTTTCTATTTAGAAGCGTACAATCGCCTACCAATATGTTTCAATTATGATTATCAATTTTTTTCTTCTTCACGCTTCTGCTTGTAATAACTTACCATGTTTAGATTTTCTTTCAGTTACAATGTCTTCATCACTAATTTCTTGTTAGAGAAGTCGAAATCATTCTTCGGAATCATACTATTGCAAATCGGTCACCAACAACACTGCTTGTTACTATTCAGCGTTCAAAAGCTGCCATCGATGTGCATATACTCCGCGACTTACTACATCACTATCATCGGATAATCACAGTATGATGAGTATTAGTCTTGAAGAATATGCACCATGAAAAATTACAACAGCAATGTGGCGAATTATCGAACTTCTACTTTTTTTTCGTGCATACTTTGTAGGTTTCCTATTGAACCATCGACTGTATACTATACACGTGCAGAAAGAAAAGCCACCTGATGAGACCTTTTATCGGGTGGAAACCCGTTGTGATAGCTAACTGATTTTTCTGGTACAAATCAGTAGAATCTATTGAAGCTAACCCTCTAGTTGCACATGCTGAAGAAATGTCCATTTCTCCATTGACTAAAGCTAGATAAAAGAGTAAAATTCAGCGGATGCAGCTAGCTTCAGCGGGTATATATACTCTCATCTATAGTAATCTGGAAGATTTGTGTTTGCCGTGAAGTTAAATTCTGCTATTTTTTTTGAGTTCGTAGTGGATGACAGCTCGATAGGTAAAAGAGTGTAATTGTGTATAGACTTTGAGGCGTTTCAAATTCTCAGCGAACGCGAAAAGTGACATTATGTCCCTAATAATGAAGCCAGAGCATCGAGCGAAAGTCTTATAACCCTTGCCAACGGAGTCAATGTAAAGTGCAGCAAAAAAAGTTTAGGAGCAGATGCGTTTACTTTTTTTTCTTTTCTAGTATACTGAGCAACATATTTTGGCGGTGGATGCACTTAGGAAAGATGGGTAGCTCTCTTTTTCATATGCGAGTAAATCTTCAGCCTAAATAGTCTTGTCGTACCAATAATAATCTTCTCCCCAGGAGAGAAAGTTTGGGGATAAATTTATTTTTATCCGCAATTGGTTTTGTAAAAGCGACAAGCAAGCTTCGATTGCAATAACTCCAATATAGAAAAAGTTGAAATTTTGTCCTATTTCTGCGTACAATTTTAAAGCTGTTTTTCTGATTCAACGTGTAAAACTGAACGTGCTCGGATCTGGATGATTCGATGGAAGAGATTTTTGTTGGATTTCACGTGACTTTTGGGATAACTCGAATGCTTTCTCGTACTCTCCCATGTTCTGATATACGGAAGCGATGTTGTTATAATAGGCAGCCAAATCTGGATGATTCGGTGGCAACGATTTTTGCCTAATTTCAAGTGACGTCTGGTATAATTCGAGTGCTTTCGAGTACTCTCCCATGTTCTCATGCACAGAAGCGATGGCGTTGTAAGAGCCAGCCAAATCTGGATGATTCGGTGGCAGGAATGTTTGTCTAATTTCAAGCGACTTTTGAGATAACTTGAGTGCTTTCGAGTACTCTTGCATATTGTTATACACGGTAGCAATACTGCTGTAAGTGGCAGCCAAAGCTAGATGATTTGGTGGCACACTGTTTGCTCTGATTTCAAGTGACTTTTCACAGAAATCCAGTGCCTTTGTATAATCTCCTTGAGCATTTTTGATTCTCCCAAGCCAATAATAATATTCTGAAAGCTCAATTTTATCGCCGTTCGATGTCCGTTCGCATAATATTTGGTAGAGTCCTTCCGCCTCACTGAAATTTCCCATGCGGAACAGTATTTGACCCAGTCGATTCCATGGTGTTAATTTCTGTGTTTCTTTTCGGATGTGCTCAGTGAGTTGTTTAAGTTCTTCATCGTTATCAGTGGTCAATACGAGATCCACTTGCCACGCCGAGTCTTCCAATTTTTTGATTTCATGGATTCGAAATACAGTGTGCATGGAGAATAGAATTTCTTCTTCATTTTCAAAAGCACTTACTTGCTTTAGCGAAGCGAATGGAGCTGAAGAAGTCGATGGATTGATGGTCATTTTGAAGAGTATTTTTACCATCTCGGGATTGTACGGGGAATTTCGGATAAATCCTAATGAGACATCTTCATTGAGACTTGTAGATAAAAAATTGTTAAATGCCAACAAACCACCATTATTCTTTTGGATCTTAGAAAAATCGTTGTGCGATAGATTTTGACCTCGATAGACAGTGAAGGGACTGTCGTGTTTTGTTTGCGAGTGTAGTTCTACAATGTTCCGATGAACATCACGTAGGAAGAAGCCCATCTTAAGGATATTTTGGACTTCTTGCATTCGCAGAGCACGGTTGAGCATTTTATAGGTGAAACATTCAAGAGTATACCACCATAAAGGTGTATGTTCGTGATAATCTTTCTCAAACTCATCAATAATTTTTAACTCGGTCGGATTATCATGATAATTCTGTCGGCAAAAATCAGCGAGTTCTTTCCTTTCCTCTTCGTCATGTACCATATCGATGAGAATGTCTTTGAGTAGTTGTGTATACATGAACGATGGATCGAGACGATTCAAATCTCCACTTGTTACACTAATCGTAGTCGAATCACGATCACATTGTTGTGTATCACGTTTAAGTACATCATAAATAGAATCAATTTCAGTAAATACACCTTTAACTTTCGTCCAGTTTTCTGCCCACTGTGAATGTTTTGATCTATCTTCACAAAATACGTAGATAGAATCTACTTGAGGCATATCATGTATATCAGGTACTGCAGATTGACCAAGACTACCCGATACAATAATGAATATCTTCTCCTTTTCGATTTTGGTGAGAAAATCGGCACATTGGTTAACATCAGTGAATCGATCGATTCTGTTGACAATTCGTCGCAGTTTAGTTATGGAATTACGAAAATCATCATTGAACTCATCAATGTTCGAGTTCAACCAAACCAAAATGAAGTTTTGAATGCTGGATAAAACTTTCCAACGTGATGAAGCATTTCTGTTGCTACTTAATAATGCTTGGACAAATCGTCGACTATTTGTCTCATTGACTGTTTGTGATAAGCTCTGCATTGTAACTTCTTATGAATAATGAAATGACCGAATCGGATCAAGCGGTTGACTTGATAAGTGTTGAGTATTCAAAACAGTTGTGATTTACTGAAATGGACTAAATTAGTTTTATATATATAAGTGAGAAACATGTTAAATTCAGTGGTGAATGTAATTTGAATTGAGACTTCCAAAAAAAGGAATTTACAAAAATTTCTGAAATTTTGGAAGTGATGTCTTCGAAAGCTCTGTTACCTCGAAAAATTCGGCTATTTCTATAATTTCTATAACTTCCGCTTTCAGAAATTTTCGTAATTTCTGAAAATTTTGAAATTTCTTTAACCTCCCAAATTGTCGAAAATACTTTTCTGTGAGTTTACGTGTTCTTGAAAATTACAGAAATTTCTATAATTTCCTTTTTTGGAAATCGGAACATACCTCACTTTATTGGAGTATAACAATCACGTAGGACTCTATTTTGTAATTAGATCAGTTTTTTTTGAAACGATATAGATAAAATATAGGAGCTGAAAAATGTGAAGTTTTTGAATATTTCGAAAGGACTTGGGCATTTCTTCGAAGTAATCTAACGAGTGGAGCATAAAAGATGGTAGTCTCAGTAGTTTTTTAATATCTTGGCAAGTTTTCATCATTTGGAGTTAAGCTTTTTCTAAAAGATGTGCCATGCAAAACTATCACTTACAAAATTCAAACTCTTGCATTCTGCAGTTTTTCCATACAGTCTTAATTGTTACATTACTTTGATTTTGGCATGGACACATTTTCTGTACATAGTTTGGATCAGTTTGTTCCAAATAACAATATCTCTGACAAACTATTTCAAACTATGTATAGTAAAAATGATGACCAATGTTAAAAAATTCATAACTTTTGAAAGAAGCGTTATACAACGAAATCCTTTGGAGGTTAACTCTTAAGTGCCGAATGTCCTCTCCAGAGGACATTGCTATAATTGTAATAAAAACCGCAATAAGACCTTGTATATAAAAACCAATATTCTTCTGGACTACGATGATCTTGGAGGTCATACCGAGATCAAAATATAATTTTCAAGTGACTGTCAGACGGAACAATAGATCTTTTACGACTGATAATTTTTTTAATGCCACTTTTCTTTTTTAAAGTTTTGTTTATTCTATGCAATATTCTTAAACATAGCATCAAGATATCTGACGAAGCCGTTCCGTAAATTTTAAATCGATTTACCGACAAATTATAACATCATAAAGAGAATGCTCCTTGAGTAGAATACTCAGCCTCATGCAAAAATCAAAACAAAGGAATTTTAATTTGAAGCTTTGCTCATACGTTGCTTTAACGATATTTAGGGTCCCGAGATTTTCAGCAACAACGGTTTCTTCCTTCTCGAGATACAGAATATTGAAGAAAAGTCAATTTTTAGTAGTTTTTTTTTGCAAAATGTGACCAGTGTTTTTAGGTATCAAGTATCTCAACAAGAAAGCATCCCTTTTGAGTGAAAATTTCAGGCAAGTTAAGGATCATGAAACCTATTTACGTACAAAATTTCAGATAGAAATTCTTATCTTTTGGTACTTTTACAAAGCCGAATATTCCTGCCAAATGACACTGCGTAAATCTGGAAGAAGAGCAAGGTAATTCTTTTTAGCTATAGTATGAGCATACTGAGAATCCATATTTCCTATTTTTGCGATTAGCTTCCTCCTGATGTAAGAAAAAGCCTCTGTGGCTTTTAAGGGATACGTCTCGTGAAATACTCTTCAAAACGGTATAATAAAGTTCACTAATATGCTATCTATCATTGAAAAAACAATCGATGGAATCATATTGTTAAATATGTAGAGCTTTCTAAACTATATCGAATACTAAGTTTCGCAATTGATTTTGATTTTTTATGAGCCTTTCTTTGATATAAACATACGATGAGCAATATGATTTATAGCAAGTTCAAAATTCGAAATAAGGACATTAGTTTAAGAAAAAATCGATACAAGGGTCTTCGCTGTAGAAGATTTGTGAAGCACTGCGAAGTAGACTGTGCAACAGAGTTTCAAATAATAGGAGTTATCCTTGTATTGTGTATCAAGTTCCTTCTCAAGAACAGTTATACGATTGCACCCTGTATCATATTTTTCACGAGGAGAGTGATCACTGTTGCAAAACAACGACTAAATAACGAGCACATACTATGAGTGGTGCAGTGATAAAACTAGTGGTCGTTGAACGATGTCGAGGAACAATCTTACCCGAAAATCATTGGAGAATTCACAGGTTATGAATCTAAATGACGATAAAAAACTGAGTAAAAACACGAAAAGCACTCGTTTTTATCCGCCTCTTGCTGCAGTGATCACTCATGCATGATGAAAAGAGAAAGATGCACCGATCGCCGCTCTCTCTCCAAGACGAAAAAATAAGCAACCAATTAGATATAAAAGCCAACAACCCCTCATCCTACCTTGCGTCGTTCACGTAACGAAGGTTCTGCTGTAATTAATGTTCGAAAAGAAAAGAAAAAAAACATGCGTACGTCGATGCTCTCTCTCTTCATGACGGAAAAATAAACAAACAATCACATGTGAGAGCTAACAACTATTCACTTTCTTGCGTCGTTCGCGTAACAAAGGTTCACCTGAAACTAATTTCTACTAGCACAATTTTTTTCTCATCTGTATTTAAGCTGCTGTGGAGAAAGAAATAAAAGAAGTTGGAAGACTAACATTGCTCCAGTCATGCATTTTTAGATAGCCGTCTCTTATCGATATGCCTGAATTCTTGTTAGAGTTATTCAAAGTGTTAGCGTGAATATATCTTTTATTGGAATGAATGAAAACTAACAAGGCATGTACATATATACAGATGGAAAAGAAGGGAAAGAAAGACGAGATATCTACGATATTAAAATAAGAAATAAATAGAAGCTATATCTGAAATGGTGAATATATACCAGTGCGACATCACTGTAGCATACTCCCCTATTGGACAAAAAAATATGTCCTATCAACATTTTTCAACGATAGATTGAGATAGAACAAAGATAATTTCAGAAATGGAACAAACAAACAAACTGTAACATGAAAAAGAAAGCTCACGCAGGATAGAACAAATAACGGACGAGTTCAGAAATTTACAGATAAAGTAAAAGTATCAATATGTGTTTCTATATGAAGAAAAAAATATATATCAAATTCAAAACAATGAATATAGAAAAATCATAACGATTATATCAATCGATTTTAGTTCAGATATAAACCAAAATAATCAAATAAAAATAAACCAATGAGAAAAGATCATTATATCTGACATATCCATGTTCCATATTGTTTGGTTAGATTGAATGTTACTGGTTCATACAAAATGAATCAAATCATACAGTTAGGAATATAATTGATATAAATTTCACTAATCAATACTACCGTTGTACTTAAATTCGAGAAAGTTCATTGGAAATTCGCCAATTGGGGAAAGTCCACTGAACTTTTACCAATGGAGAAAGTTAAGCTTGCGAAAGTTCTATTAGCGAACCTCCAGTAACCCCTATGCCACTAGAATAGTTTGCTTTTAATTCATGATTTTTTTCTTCAGTTTTGTCTAACTGATTGTCAATAATCGGCTAAAAATTTTCTATTATAGTGCTTTTTAAAAGATCGCTAAAACAATAGTGATCGACACTGTTCATCTATCTATCGCTAAAGAAAGTATAAAATAGATTCATGATATAGTATATGAGATTTTTATCAGTAATCGCACTGTTTGCAGACAAAGGGCGTTTCTTATATTCTAAAATAATCATCAACTTTAAATGACTCCAATAATTTGTTCAATTGAAAGAGAAAATAATATTGGATTAAGGAAAAAAGATTATTACATTTTTTTGAGAAAGAAGAGAAGGAAGCATAAAGGTAGCAATGAGTGTAAGATCAATAAAGAAAGTAGATATTTATGAGAGTAGCTGACGAGTTTGACAAGTGAAAAAAGAACGAATATCTTTGTTGTGTGGATGCAGAAATGTGTTTTGTAGATTGTCTCGAAGATTTTTACCACACTGTAAAAAAAAATTCGTAGAATAATAAACCCTAGTACTTTTGGAAAATCTTCCTAAACCCTTAAAAGGTTTATACTGGTGTGTTAAACCCTTAAAGGGCTTTTGTGCGAAAAGGTTTCTGAGAAAAAGGGTATTTAACAATAAAAAGGGTTTATCACTAGCGAAAAATGGTATATTGTTCTACCTTTTCATGAAAAGGTTTTATTGTTCTACTCTTTCATACAAAGGGTTTAGGGTGAGTGGGTGTGGGTAGGGATGCAACGGTGACGATTAATCACTTGTTAACCGTCACCGTTTCACCGGTCCAAACCGGTAACCGTACCTACGGTTACCGGTCCAAGTACAATAAACGTAGGTACATTATCGGTTCAAACCGGTTGTCAAGAAAAACAGCATTTGTTAAGAAAACAACGATATTTTATAAAGGTTGACGAAAGTAAATCGACGTCGCAGAATCCGAATCTGAAGTCGGTTTTTCAAAATTTCGAATTGAATTTTTTGACAAAGGAAAGGGTGTTTTAGAAAAATAATGATATTTTATAAAGGTTTACAAAAGTAAGTCGAGGTCGGAGAGTCCGAATCTAAAGTCCACTTTTGAAAATTTAGGGCTTTAGTTCTTCACATAGGGTATTTTTCAGGGATAAATTTTTCTAGAAAAATAGATCACTTTCAAGGAGCGGTTTAGTCTAGAGAAAAGAAAATTGTAAAGGTCAAGGATTTGATTTCAGATTCGGATTCTTCGACCCCGGTTTACTCTCGTCAACCTTTATAAAAACGTCATTATTTTTCTAAAAAACCCTTTCCTTTCTCAAAAAAATTCAATTCAAAATTTTGAAAAACCGACTTCAGATTCGGATTCTCCGACCTCGATTTACTTTCGTCAACCTTTATAAAATATCATTATTTTCTTAACAAATGCTGTTTTTTTTGACAACCGGTTTGAACCGATAATGTACCTACGTTTATTGTACTTGGATCGGTAACCGTACCTACGGTTATCGTCATTGTTGCATCCCTAGGTGTGGGTGTGGGTGCTACCCTCTCCTTCATTCGCACTCACACCCACACTCTTTGTTTTGTAATAATGATGGAAATGTCATTGATCGTTCAATTCCATTATGTATATTGTCTTTTTCTTTCATTTTTTATCTGTAATCTAATGTCACATATTCTCAAAATGATGAGTGATACGTTTGACCATAAGATGATCATGATTGATTAATCATAAGTCAACGTGGAGTGACGAAGAATGAATAGTTCTATCTTGAGAACATTGATATGATGATAAGAATGGTGATGATGATGATGAAAATGTCCCTTGAATTGCCTCACTGTACATGCTCTCTGGACGACCCTTCGGACTGCCCTCTCGACCTCCGCCTTTTTGTTTCAACTATTCATGAAGGAGAATAGTGCACCCCGGAGCTTTTGTACAGAAAGCAGAGATCGGCAGCTCCGACCATTTCTCGCTCCAGCTCCACCATTCCCATGAATCGCTCCGCTCTATGGAGCGAAGCTAGCTCCATGAAGCGGCCGCTCTGGAGTCACAGCTGCTTAACTCTGAGATTTATATTGCAAGAGGTCTAGTTTTCTAGTGGTAGAATGTTCGTTTAGGATACGAGCGGCCCAGGTTGAATTCCTGGCTGGATCCAATAATTTTTCTATGTCAATTTTATCAGGAGCATTAATATGACATAATATATTTGTAAGGAAGAAAGAAGGAATTTTGTACTTTTGGAGTACAAAGGGTCTTCTGTTCCATATTGAGTATTGGATATTATTTTTTTTCTACCTTTCGAAGTGTTCGTTTTAGTCACAGTTAATATTGAAATGTAAAAGAACTTTCTGCTTCTCACATAAAAATGCGACTTATCTCTCATGGTTATTGCATCATGTGGATTAGGTGTAGACGAGAACAATATACCTACACCCTCATCCCACCCTCATAAATCAGAACATATGTCAAAAATATTTCATGCAGTTTTACTCTTGGTTTAGTCTATCGACAAATATATTTAGAAGTACCCATTTATTAGACACTCGGAATAAAACTTTCTATTTAAATTCAAAATATTCATCCCGGCTGAGAAAATTGCATCTTCTTGTGCAAGGACGTAAATGTTATGAGTCATTTTATTTATCTTCCTTCTTAAATTGCCTCATATGACTTCTCTGTTTTTTTTCTTACCATCACCTGTACAAAAAAAGTAAATATGACGCCAAATAAAATAACTACCGTTTGTGTCACGTATGATTCTCTATGTTTATATACATATATATATTTAGCATAGAGTGCATTCCATTCACTCGTTATATTGAGTTTAAGATTGCTAACACTCATATTGAAGAGTAAAGAAATATTTATTCGACGAATCGATCACAAAGGAATTCAAAGTCAAAAATGGCATGTTTAGTCCAACCAAGCATTTACTCAACTTCTAGCAAGAAGAAACCATATTCATCTGAAATTATGATATCAAGAAGCTTGACCTAAGACTTTGTTCATATTTCAATTCAACCTTCGCAAGATGAAAAGCGCTGTTCATGTGATATTTGTTGTGTAGTTGATACTTCAGGTTCCATGTCAGATGCAGCCGAAATTCAAAATGATAAAAATGAGAAATATGGTTTATCACAGTTAGACCTTGTTAAACATTCCTTGAAAACAATTATATATTCTCTTTGTGATGAAGACCGATTATCAATTGTATCGTTTGCTTATCATGCTAATATTGTACTCAGTTTAACAAAAATGGATGATGCCGGAAAGAAAAAAGCCTTAGAAGCAGTTGAAAATTTACGGGTTCGTAGATGATTCCATAATATGTATTAATTAATCTAGTGGTGCATAAATGTATTACACATATAGTCATAGCCACAGCATCTCAGATAGACTATCTTGTATAAATAGAAGTTTGCTTCTATTATCTCATATTTCAACAGAAAGGAATTCAGGATACTGTCAAATTTCATAGAATTCTCTGATATCCATCAACTTGTTTATTGTTTTTTCAAATTTTACTTCGGCCAAGAAGTATTTCGTGAAAAAAAACTTTAACTTTTGTATATGCAATGAACATAGATAATTCATTTAACACTTTTTACTATTTCTAAAATTTCATCTAGAGCTCAAGCAGTACAAACTTATGGGATGGTCTTCGAACCGGCGTTGAACATCTTTCTAAACAACAAGATTCAATAAAAAGTATTTCAGCTCTGTTTCTTTTGACTGATGGTTGCCCTACTGAAATACCACCCAATGGTCATTTGATATCACTAGAAAAACTCAAGAAGAATCTCAACTTTTTATGTGCTGTTAACACTTGTGGCTTCGGATATAAACTGGATAGCAAGCTTCTTGAAGATATTGCTGTACTAGGAAATTCCGGTTCATACGCATTTATTCCTGATGGATCATTTGTAGGCACAATCTTTGTGAATGCTATATCAACATTGCTCACTACAACAGCAACCAATGTACAGGTAATATATTGTTTTCGAATTCGATGCACTGTTATTCAGAAAAAAACGATCATGGACTAAAATTCTTTTGTATTACAGTTATTGATCCATGATCAAGATGCTCAAAATACTGACTACATGCGCTGGTATTCAACACATAAGCCTGAAGAAGGTACTTATATTAATTTGGGTTCGATTACATATGGTCAAAGTAAAGATTTACTGATTCCAGTTTCTTCTAAACTTACCAAAGAATGCCGATTCACGCTAGCCTATCAAAACGCAAAAAACATAAAGAAATCTATCGATTTTGATTTTATGGATAATCTGCAACAGGCTGATCTTAATTTAATAATTCGACATAAAACGCGCCTAGAATTCGTTCAGTGTGTAAGAACAGAATTGGAAAATATGAAATCAATAAAAACGAATTCAAAACAGTCAAAGAAGCAACATGATCAAGTGATGAATGAGTTACAAAAATTCAAGGAAAAAATGAAGTTAGCTGCAAATGGAGATGACGATTTTATAAAAGACTTATTAGCGGATTTGACAGGACAAGTACAAGAAGCTCTGGGAAAGCAAGAATGGTTTAACAAATGGGGCGTACATTATTTACCTAGTTTAACACGTACGTTTTATTGTAGAATAGAAAAAAAACAATGCATCTAACTCATTCGTTATTTTTTAGGTGCTCATCTTCTTCAACTCTGTAACAATTTCAAGGATCCAGGTGTTCAACATTAAGGAAAAGGCGAACTTTTCTCGAAGATGCGCGATGAAATGGATGACATATTTTGTAGCTTACCTGCTCCTACATCTTCATTGGCAACAGTGCTCCGGTAAATATGACTGTGTTCTATAATGCTGCTGGTGGATGTTTTTATGGAGAATGCACTGTATGCTTAATGAATGCCACAACGAAGTTAGTGAAAGATGTTCAACCAGGTGATCGAGTGGCACCATATGGCGGTATGGTTCGATTTGTTGTTAAAACCAAATGTCCAAATCGAAAAGCAAAAATGGTTATCGTGAGTATCTGATTACATTGTTTTTATTCTTAGTCGAGTAGTTACCATTTATTGAATAAGAATCATTTTCAGTTTAGTGATGTATCAAATGTTTTTTCTTTTACAGGTTGAAAACAATTTAATCATTACTGCATGGCACCCTATACGTCTTTCTTTACAATGGATTATGCCATGCTCACTTGTTTCCTCAATACATGAAGTATCATGTGACTATGTATATAATTTTGTACTCGATCAAGGTCATACAATTTTGGTCAATGATGTTGAATGTGTAACATTAGGTCAAGGGGTTCAAGAAGATGTTGTTCGACATTCCTACTATGGTAGTCAAAGAGTAGTGAAAGATTTAGAAAGACTTGATGGCGAACAAAACAATGGAGGAATCATCGAAGTAAGTCAAGGAGCATTGGTGCGCAGTAAAAAGACTGGTCTCGTCAAAGGCCTACAGGTGCAGGAGATATTAGTTCAATGAGCAAATACACGTATAAAATTATCTGATGTCCAGTGACGGACTTGTTGTTTAATCATGATCTAAAGAAAAACTATTTTGCTTTTTCAAACGGAGAAAAATATACAAACTCTCGAAAATTCAATAAAAAGAAATTAAGAATATATCTTTATATTTTGTGGTATGGGGGTATGAGTATAAGAAAGAAGAGACACGCACTGTCATCCCCACTTTCACACCCACACCCATACTTATAAACAAAATATTTACATTTATCTAGTGTATTTCTTTTCTAACGTCCCATATTAAGAATATTACATTATTATTAGTGAATATGATATGTATATCGGCTTGTTCACGCAACGTGCTGCTTCAGGCATTATGTTTTCATTTAAAAATTTGAAGCAAACGGTTATGCTAAGTTATAGAGCATGCTCGAAAGTGTACAAAAAAATATTTTATTATTTGAAATATGGACTTTGTGACCTCTAAGACAAAATTGTACTAACGTGCATGATTTACATTTATACATGGATTATTTTCATTCTGGATTTATAATGAACATTTTGACTTTATGTTTAACTTCTAGGACTCACTATCATATGTCTTATAAGCTATAGTAAACTATCTTTCTTTCCCTTCCTCGGAGAAAATCTCGAAGAAAAACATGATGAAATTGCTGTCACAGCGTTACGAAAGGGTCCCTATTTTAAGTTTATAATGAAATGTCTACTGAACACGATCAAACAGATTAGTGCACCAGTTATAACTTTTTATGGTGATTCTGATGCACTATTTTTTTCCTAATAGTATTAAGTTTAAGGGTAGATGAACGTAACGCTGTGACACAAACTTGATATATTATATTATGTTTAGTTTATATAATTGAACAATAACTTCATATATATATGCAATGGATAGCAACAAAATTAAATTCAAACTTGATCCTAACTCTGGATACTTTTATTAAGCAACAAATGCTTAAAACAAGCTCCTACATCTGTGTATGCTACCGAATTTCTGATTAATATCAATTTTACCTATAGTAATTACTATGTATGATGAATTAGTATGAGCTTCAGCTTTAAAAAAAATTGATATTAAAATTTTTCGATGAAAATCCTGATGTTCAAAATGATAAAGCAAACACTGTAATGCCTGGAGGACGAAGAACAAGTGTATGCATGTAACTGTATACATACATTCACATCGATCGTTCATACATGCTGTACGTCATTATCGCATAAAGAATAATAAGTCGTTATTTTTCCTTTCCTGTCGCTATTTCATTTTCGTAGTTTATCATATCAATATTCAAGAAAGAAAGTCTAAGAGATAGCTCTATCATTACGATAAAGAATACCTGTACAAAAAGAACAGTTGAAATTTTTGAATTTTTTTCCAACGATCATTGTCTTCTATCTATTTCACCAAGGTTAGTGCTGCTTTTTATTTTTTATCTCATATGGCTAAAACTAGTGCTGAAGGAATGAAAAAGCATCGAGAAAAACTTAAACAAGATAAAATAAGATATGAAGGAGCAAAGGCAAAAGCTCGTACTCGTTACAGTTCAATAAGAAGCAGATTGACAGGAGCTAGTCTAGAAGAATTTCGTAAAAAAGCTAAACTTCGTCAACAGAAATGTTGAGANTTTTTCTAACTTAGTTTAACAGTAAGAAATATATCCTATATTCTAAGATGCAAAAATAATATTCAACAACTGTATAATAGAATGCCTTCTTTTACCCCATTTGAATTAATTAGCAAAATCTTAAGTGGTAATTGAATAAAAATATCAAGTTTGATTGTATCTTGAGAATAAAATAATTCTTTTTCAAAAACAAACCACTCATTTAAAATGATTTATTTTGAGTTTGAGTGATTTATTTTGAGTTTCATCTGAGTTGAATCAGTAGTTTCCCCCTTGACATGTGTTCATTAAAATCAACATAGTCTAAATTAAATATGACATTTAAATTTAAAAGAATATCCTCTTGATTGGAAGACTCATTGTATTTTACTATGCCAGTAAAAGACGGAATTTTTATTGAAATCTTTGATTTACACTCAGTTTCTAAGATTGCATCAACCATATTCGTTTGTTTTATTGATTTTCTAGCGAAATTCAATGCATGGAAACGAAATCGAGTTGTTCTTTCGAAAACTTAATTTTTCGATAAATGGCAACAGGTTTATATTCACATGCAACCATATTCTTATTTGGATTCATAAAAGCTTGTATAAGATCACTCATAAAATATCTTAATGTATACAAATGATCTATATCTTTGGTATATAAAGCTTCCTTAATAATTTTATAAGGAATTGATTTTTTCAAGTACCATTGAATAGCTTTATTTGAATTATATTCATATTCGAACCCATCAGTTAATTTCAGATTATGCAAATTATTTTGATAATATTAATGGTATAATTCAGTGATTCCATTTTTAACTATTTGATCATATGACTATTGTAAAATGATCTTATTGAATATTTGATACCAAAATAAATCAGAAGTTTGTTTCGAAAGATCTTCTGAACAATATTCAGACTGATCAAAGATAATAAAAGTTAGAGATGATTCATCTGCTAACTCAATTTGTTCTGTCACTGATGAACATAAACAATCTTAATCAGTGTAAAAGCCAATGCATTCATTGTTTGGGCTTTTAATAAAGTTATATATAAAAATGGCATTGATCTGTCAAAATGTATTAAGTTGAAATAAACTTGTACTTTGTTCTCTTGTCTATTAGCCATTGTTGATTGATATTGAAATGATAAAATGTAGAAAATTAATTTATTTAATCTAAAGATGATATAGAAATTATAACAATATTATAGTGCTGCTTATTTTATTAAACAAGAACATGATAACTAACATAAGATGCTGATTTCTAATAATGCTATAATTGTATATCGAATTAGTTTTATGCGGAAAAACATTTGTGCTGTTGTTCAAGACTACTTATTTGTTAGCTGAAGGAAGCATACAACACTGCAGTAGAGAAGAACGAAATTAATATTACTCTATTAATATAGGCTGATTTCTAATTTGAAAGTTGAAAATGAATCATCGATTCATCAAGATTATATTAATACATAAGTATCATGTTAATCTATAAATGAGACGCAACAAAGTATGTATCAACTTGACAAGCACTTATTTATTTACCAAGAAGTTTAACTTATCTGGAAGCATGCTACTTAGCTGTATTTTTTTAACAAACAACGAATTCGACACCATTGGAAAATCATTTTCATGTCAAAACATTCAGGTGGTCATTCAAACTTACCTAATTTTCTCAGTAACTCAAAATGTATTAAAGATATTATTTTCATATGAATTAAGATTTTCGATAGGTAAGTATACGTTGATGTTCAACTGTTGACTTATCATATGAAAAAAAATGCTTATCTTACCACTCTAAATCATCATAAAGACAGAACAAACAAAGCACAACAAATACTGAAACTATTAGCTATTATCATTCTTTATTCAAATGATGACTAAGATACAAATAAATGTGAATGTATTTAGGAAGAGAAAGTTCTTACTTTCTCACTCTATACAGTTTCTCTTGATCTTACATATAAACATTTCATGAAATCATCTAAATAATAAAAAAGTAAATGTCTATTAATTATTTGAAAGTGATGTAAAATAATATTCATCGGAATTTTATCACTATAAACGATAATATCAAAGGACTGATTATCTCGAGAATTTGATTTCGATAATTATTTGAAAACTCAAATGATTCAGTATAATTTAAAATTCGACTGGTAATTTTATAATTGAATTTATTATGTAACTTTTTAAAAAAGCCCTCTAATTCTCTGTGAATTACTCGAAAGAAGGATCCAAAGAACCAAATAGAAGAAGTAATGATAACTGAGGTTGTGTTTTTTTTATCTGGATTTTCACCCATACATTATGTACAACGTGAAATTCACTTCTGACATACAGTCATATCTACATTCAATATTTAAATAAAGGATCTTTATTTTTACAAGAATTAATTTCGCAACAATTTCTTACGGCAATTCTTTTAAATATCTGTTGAGATAAAAATACTTTTTAATTTATATTATATCCTTTACATAAAGAGACACCTGCATTTGTACTTTTACGTAATTGCGAAAGTCATGAGAAACATTTGATGTTTTGTGAAGAACAGAAAAAATGTGCGTCTTGTTTTTATGTAATTATGTAAAGCTTGGAGTTACTCAATTCATCTGCAAGTCTTTACGAATAAATATTTAAATAATAGGCATCCTAGCGCAAAACCATTTTATTGATAAATTTCAAGTTCTGAATTATCTTCATTCATTCTGTTGAATATGACATCGTTTGATTTCAACTTTGCTGAACCCACCGCCTCATATAATAATTCGGTTGATACCACTATGGATGCACACATTGAAAATATTGACTCGATTCAAAAGTCAGATTTTGTTGTACTCAAAGGACACCCAGTAAAATTAATTGAAATTACACATTGTAAACGAGGAAAGACTGGTCGTCCAAAGGTCTGTAAAAAGAAAATTTTCATTTATCTACTTATTTTGAATTAATTTTTTCTTATTAAGGTTTTTCTAGTTGGTATTGATATATTTACAGGCGATCGCTACGAAGAAATTCGTTTAGCAGCAGATACAATTCAAGTACCGCATGTTATCAAAAAAGATTATCTGGTAGCAGATATCACTAATGATAATTTTCTTACTTTATTTAATGAGGATCCATACGAATTTCATAGTGAGATAAAATTAAACAAGGTTTCGGATATCACTGGTTCATTGATCGACAAGTTCAAGGAAGATATTGGTCAGATAAAGGTTACGGTTCTTAAAGCACTTGGCGAAGAGCAAATTATAGCATTCAATGTGATAGAATAGTATAGATGAATGCTAAGTTTTTGCTTGTGTTCACCGAACACTTTTTTTGAAACAAGAAAAAGAAGATTTGAATAAAATCAGAAAGTAATATTTTATTTTTATTTGAAAAATGACATCACAATATAATTAGTTTAAAGCATGGATAAACACAAAGAATAAAAAGTAAAAGTATTTTAATTATATCTTAAAAAGTTCTCATACATTGTAACATTATCAAAATGAAAAGGAAATGAAATGAAAACAAGAATATTTTCACGAAGTTTTCTTTTCTCATTTGCCCAACGATTCTGAAATCAATTATATTTTATTGTTGAGGTTCTAGAAATTACGATGGATATCGATGGCTGATGACAACTCGTTTGACTTTCTAGCATAGATGAATTTAGTTTTCGATGCTATTAAGAAAAATCCATGTTGAATTTAAATTTGGGGGGAACAAAAAGAAAAGAAAAACAGTTGAACAAATAAATATCTGAGAATATTATTTTTTAAATTGATGAATGAATATTATTTTAATGGGATAGCTCGAATTTAATTATAGCCTTTTTAAAATTTGCATGTAAACAAAGCGCGCCTTATAAAGATTGTTTACGGCAGTAAATTCTGTATACGATCTTATTTACCTACCAATATCGTTTTTTTCAAGTGATTCATCCATTGTAACATATGTAAAGCCTTTTTGTTTTGCTATTTCTTCATCAGGTTTGATATCGTCACAGAAAAATTTACAACCAAAATCTAAAAATATATTAACCGCGCTCATTCCTAAATTGTCTGTTCCAATAATGTCAACTGTTTTTCCAAAAACATTAATACCAACAATACCATCCCATGTAAAATTATGTTGTTTTGTTCGATAAAATGCGTGATGTAGATTACGATTAAGTGAAATTAAAAGAACAAATGAATGTTCAGCAACAGCATGTGCTGAATAATTTGGCACATGACATACTTCAATAACATATTTTTTAGCAATTTCTATTGTTGAATCACTATATGCAGCACTTCTTAAAGCAATTATTTTAACTAAATCATAATGTTTATGTAATTTTTCAATAATATTTCTATATTGAACATCTCGATTAACAACACAAATTCCATCATAATTTTGAGCTTTAGTAATAGTTTCATCATTTAATTGACCTTGAAGAAATGTAAAATGTAATTTATTCTGACCATTTAATTCTTTTTCATCAGATAATTTTGAATCAAAAAAATAAAATCTTTTTTGTATCGATTCACTCGAGAATGATTTCCATCAAGACATACATGACAAAACTGAAATTCTCCTACCATAAAAATCTTGGATTCCACACAGACAAAAAAAGTTCTTAAAAACACATTTTTTTTATGACTTCATGAAATTAAACGTTATTATTCCTTTACAAACAAAAAAATAAACCAGCTTGACTAGTGTACGTACTAGTGAATAAAATTTTTTTTTTTCTATTCTCTCATACTGACGGGTAAAGTAAAATATACTCTCCCATGTGAGTGTGGGTAGGGATGGAAGTGTGAATCTTCATCTCTACGATGCTCACACCCATACCCTGAATAGCAGCATTTTCTGATTATTTCGTCAATAGAGACAGCTCTAGACATGGTGATTAACAGACAATTTAGTTGTAGTACTTGAAAACCGAGCAACAGTAATTGCAATCTTGAGAAAATGGAAAATATCATTAGAGATGTTTAAACGAGATAAACAATTCGTGCGAAAACAAAAAACCTCAAAGTTACAATTGTTCAATTAGTTTTGGTAATTTCAATGACGATTTGTCAAACGACTATAAAAGAATAAAGAAAGGAATTATTCCCTATAGTTTTTTTTTTCAATGAAATCTTCTTCTATCAATAAAGATAAACCATGAAAATGATAAGAGAATGTGAGGTGTCGTTGTCATTTTTCATATTTGCTGCAACATACACCACTCAAGTATTTCTTTAACCATGAAGGACGGTATTGATTTCATGTAAGAAAATATAAATCGACACTTTTTAATTATGTATATATAAATATAGTATATTACGTTCCTCAATATAAGTAATTAATTTGTTTTTTTTACAAGTATCAATATGTTTCAATGTTATTTCGTATGCAGTATTCACTATGCATAAATCACTGAAGCAAATCGTTTTCATGCACGATGTTTGTATCTTGTATAGCCACGTTCGTGATAGAGTGTGTATTAAGAAAAAAAGTAAGGGATAAAGACCTAAAATATTTACGAAGAGAAAGAAACATATAAGCATGCTTTACTGCAAAGGTAAAAAAGAATCATTTTCAAAAACAGGTAGATGGTATTACATACTCGTAATCAAGCCAAATCATCAAAAAGTCAGTATTAAGTTTTTTCAATATATATTTTTTCAGTACAATGAATCATGTTTCAAGTAGAAATAAGCTTAGTAAATAATGTACTTATAGTGCCAATCCATTTAGCATGATGGGTGTGGGTATGGGGTGTGGGTGTGAGGTGTGGGTGTGGGTGTGGGTGTGGGTATGGGTATGGGTGTGGGTGTGTGGGTGTAGATAGGGACTTCTCTTCTGTTTTTTAATACCCATACCCACACCCACACCTACGGGAATCCGGAAATCCCCGGAATCCGAAATCCGCTGTTCCTCCCTTGAATTTTCCTGAATCCATGTCTAAGAAATTTTATTACCATCTCGCGAACTTACTACATTACTAATCGAACGTGCCATATCTCGTTCACGAATTACAAATTCATTGTTCAAATGTTGATTTTAAAACGAAATGATTCGTGATCGATCTTTTGTACAAGCGAGACCAACTAGTAGATTCAATGTTTCACTGGGCACTAATTCATATTTTAAACGATTCCATAAAAATTAATATTCTTCATGAGAACCTTCTTGAACCACAATACAATAAACAATCGAACGTAAACTAATCGATATCGGATTTCAAGCAGGATTTAAATGCCATCGTCGATAGATAATTCGTGCTGTATAGATACATTCGCGATAACCATAGTAACCAACAGTTGAGAGAGCTTCGAGTTGGAGTAAAACTCGACGCCAATTTGTTGATTGATTGATAGGTGTCCAACCAATACTATTGTACAATGGCAGAATTAAATTGAAAAAATAACGTAGTTCAGGAAAAATTTCATTATCACCAAGTAAATATTCTTGTTGATCCACTGCCGACAATGTTGCTATCCAAGGAACAAAGCCACGTTCATGTTTTAAATAACCAGTTCATCTACAGGCATCCGTAATATTCATTGAGAATGTGCGTGATAAAGCAAATGTATCATCAATAAGAGCACCTCGATTAATAGTTAGAATGCGTGTATCATCCGTTTGAAGTTGAGTTAGAATTAGATGAAAATCTTGTAGATCATATTTAACTCTGTCGATGCCGAAATAATTCGAATTTGTTATGATCCAATCTGAATCGGAGGGTGTGGGTGTGAATAAACAGATGATCCGCATCTTCACTCACACGACACCCCAGTCAAGTGAATAATGAAGAAATGGTCATTAAAATGCTTTATTACTTGTAGCTAGACTATTTCGACCATTGAAATGTATCTTTTTAAATAAATAATGGTGAAATGGCCATTAAAACGGATAATAATTGATTAATGAATAATTTTTACCATTTCACAATTACGGACTCTGTTTTTTCGGAGTTTCAAACTGATTTTAAAAATGTTTATACCTTCAGAAATTTATATGGATTATTAATGTTTGCTTATCAAACTTTCTTTTTTTGCGAAATAGTTAAAAACATTCTTGTAAACTTAACCGCCTAAAGGTCTATTGAAGTATGCGACTTTGATGAAATGGCACTTAATAATAGTCGAAAAGCTATTTTTTATATGATATTGATAGTTGACTTGCAATTCTCCAATCGAAAAAGATTTTTTTTCTTTACTATAGTGCTAAACTTATAAGTTTTTCGATAAATATTGAATGTCTGTAATTCACAGCGTCATCATTTTTTCGAAAGAAGATAGATCTCATTTGTTTCTGAGATAAACTGTATATCTTAGGCGACTAGCCTAACCTTATTTCTTCTCTCTCAAAAGAAACGATTAGGATTCGAAGGTGCTAAAATAGGACAAAGGACCTGTCGAAATAACAGCGCATAATGATTTCAGAAGTCAGATTTCTTGTATATCACAGGAAAAAACTGGACTTTAATTAAAATTTGATATCAACAAAGCCAAAGTAGATTTCTCTTGTAAAATGAAGTTGAATGATTAGAATCTAGGCAAAAAATTATTTTTTCCAATGTGAATCACATTATGATGTAAACAACTAAAAGATATCACGTTCTGTTGGAATCAAGTGTAGTCCCTATGATTCATGTTGTTATTTTCGTTTGCTCGACTAAAGTAATCGCATAAATCGAAGTGGATAGATTTTATTTTATGTGACGAAGTATTCGTAAAAAAACAAGGATGCGTAACTTACCTCACATTAATCTAACAATCCATAGAAAATTACACAAAGCTGGTTTTTCAAATGACATTGTAAAAAATGCTCTCGAATTTTACATGATACCGTTCATAATAACGAATACTTAAGAATATTTATATAAACTAATTGATTTATTTGACTTTTCTTTTTTACAAAAGTTCTCATTAATTGAACAAATATATTTAGTACTTTCTACAGAGATATTTTTGTACTAGTCGATTACTTAAATATTTTGTGCACACTATTACAGCGTATTCTGTAATAATATAATGCACATCTTTATACACATCGCTAATTGACACATCAGGTTCGACCATAACACAGTATTCTCTTCTCTGATTCTACTCTCTTTAAAAAAATATTTATGTACTGATCGTAACATTCTCATGTTCTATTTTCTTTGTCATCTTTATAGAATTCCCCGTACACTGTAAAAAAAATTCGTAGAATAATAAACCCTAGTACTTTAGGAAAGTTTTCCTAAACCCTTAAAGGGTTTTTGTACGAAAGGTTTTCTGAAAAAAAGGGTATTTAAAAATAAAAAGGGTTTATGACTAGCGAAAAAGGGTATATTGTTCTACCCTTTGGTGAAAAGGGTTTATTATTCTACGGCTAAGGGTTTATTGTCCCACTTTCCATGAAAAGGGTTTTTTATTCTACGGCTAAGGGTTTATTATTCTACCTTTCCGCAGAAAGGGTTTATTATTCTACGACCAATGGTTCATTGTTCTACCCTTTCATAAAAAGGGTTTATTATTCTACGCATAAGAGTAGATTATTCTACCTTTATGTAAAAGGGGTATGTGGATGTACATGACGATCATCTTCTTTTATCACATCCATAGCGACACCCCACATGCACACCCTTTCTACTTATTCATCTGATTACCTAAATCAGTCTTTTTTTTTTATTAAATAACACTTTTTCAAGTGAATTGCTATTGTTCCTTCTTTAGAATAAAGATAGTCATTGTTTACTGTCCCATTCGAAACCGTCAAATTAAAGACAGTGTTCATTCCCAATGGAGAAAATTCATCTTTTGCTGCATGGCTAAGATAGAAAAATGAACGTTTCTAAATATTGGCATACAGAATATTATTTTCCTAGGACAGAAAAGACAGTGATAAAAAGTCAATATTCCCATCTATTCTGATATAGAAAGCTTTTTCTCCAATTTTACATTCGGAGCAGTGATTCAATACTTTCAACTAAAATGATAGGAAATTTGTTTTTTACATATTATATTCAATAAGGTAGTTTCTTTTATCTTAAATTAAATTAATAGAAATTTTTGTTTTCTAATATCAGATTCGATAAAACGATCGCTTATCTTCAGATGAATTGACAGAATTTTGTTCTATTATTAGGTTCGATAAAACAATCACTTATCTTAAGTTCAATTGATGGCGACCTCTTTTCTTTTGTAATAGTAAATTCAATAAGTTAGTTTCTTTTTTGTTAAGTTAAATTAATGGAAAACTTTTTTCTAATATCAGACTCGATAAAATTATCGTTTATCTCACGTAAAATTAATAGCGAAACTTTTTTCCTAATATTAGATTCAATAAGATAGTTCTTAATCTTAGTTGAATTGATAAAAATTTTTTCCTAATACTAAATAGATTCAATAAAGTAGTTCTTGTTTATCTTAAGTTAAATTAATAGAAATTTTTCTCTAATATCAGGTTCGATGAAATAATCGTTTGTCTTAAGCCAAATCGATAGTACAATCTTTTTTTCTAATGTTAGATCCAATAAGGTAGTTTTTTTATCTTAAGTGAAATTATTAGAAACTTTTTCTAACATTGAGCTCGCTAAATTCTTTTTCTTCAGGAAATTCGTCGTAAAAGTAATTTTCATCCATAGAGATAGGATAGAGATAGAAGCCTTCTTTCGTTTATATACTTGAATAGAAAAATTGATTTTCGCAGGAACATCAGTAAATAATATAAAGACATTACTCAACTAACATTGACACAAATCGTCATTTTCATAGCTATCACTTTAGTATTCTATCGTCCTTCACATTGATTAGTTCTAATAACAGTTTTTTTGCTAAGTTGAGGTACATTTATCTATCTTTGATACTTAGTATAAATGAGTTTGAACAATTTATTCATACACATTTCCTTCAATACTTCGATATACAGAATTAGGGCTCATAAAATAGTTTGGACATAAGCTTCGAAGATACTTAGGTGCCTAAGAAGGTCAAAGGAGATATTCAGATGCTTAAAAAGATTTAAAAAAGGATGTAGGAGATATTTACGTACCAAGAAAGAGTTTAGAAAAGAACTTGAGATATGTTCAGATATCCAGAAAGGAGTTAGTGAGAGACTTAGGAGATACTGAGATACTTGGAAGAATTAAGAAAGGCTTTAGGAGGTATTGAGATATCCAGAGAGGATTTAGGGGAGAGTTTAAGACATGCTAAGATGCTCAAAAATGAGTGAGGAAAGACTTTAGGAGCTATTGAGATTACTTGGAAAGGAGTTAGGAAATAGTTTCGGAGATTT